AAAAATGTGATCATCTCTCATGCGATCAGTATAAATATTACTGACGAGCCACAGTGTGTTCTTTCTTCATATAAAGTCTTTGGAACCGGTGTGTACTTTGCACTTACAACACTTCTCGATTAAGACCAGCCGTATTTCCAGCCTTCAACGGCCACATGTGGTTCGTGGGCACCGCACTGGACGGCGCTAACTCCAGACTTTCAGAGCGTGAGGGAGAAGTAAGCCAGTTATATTTTGGGTTTTTGGTTCCCTGCAGCAGAATGTGATCCTAACTAGCCCATGGGGTTTCTGATCCACCAGACACTTGGGAACATTTGAAAAGAAATTGAAAACTAGACTGGAGATGGGCAGCTGACAAGCTGAAAGTCCTTAGTGAGGGCGGCAGAGGGTGCCTTGCAGGCTCACGCATTGTCCCCCTGTGTCCTCCCAACGGCTCCCAGAGGCAGGCACAGCCTTCTTCCTACAGAGGACGACTCGGTGCGGTGGGCCCAGTGGGTGCTGCCATGCCCCGGGGAGTCCCCTCCCTGCCCAGGCTCTCCGGGGGCCGCTGGCAGTTGACAGCACCGACTCGGGTCCTCTCCAGGACTCGCCCCGCACTGAGTCACTTTCCCCAAGGTCACGACCCCTCCCCAGGGGCACCCGGTGTCTGATGTGACTGGTCAACGTGAGGATACAAAGGCCTGACCCCCTTGCCCAAATTCTAGACAACTCAGAGGTCTATGCTGGCCCCAGAGCTTCATCGGATCCACTGAGGTCTCACAACTTAAACTCGCCCCTCTGCCCTGTCCTTCCCTCACTCGCTCCTCGGCAGCCACTGATCCCAAGAGCACGCCTCAATAAATGGCCATTGCACAATCGGCAACAGAGAGGTTAAGTGACTTGCCCAAGGCGACACAGCCAGTCCACTCCCCAGAAGTCAGATTGGTTTGGCACCTTCTTACTCTAGGGGCCGTCCTGTGGCTCCCCCTTTATTGCATTCCTGGAGAACCACACTCTTTGCTCCCTCTGCACCTTTGCACACACTGTTCCTCAACTGTCCTTGCGTTTCATGTCAGTCAAATTAAACGAGCTCATAGGCAGCCTCTCCATGATGACCCTGTGCCACGCGGAGGAGACGCATCTCGGAGGAGGACATGGCTCCTGTCTAGAAGATTCCAGAGCCTGGCGGGGACACAGACTCCAGGAAGATCGCTCCCTTCACAGGAGGGTGGTTAACTCCTGAGGGCCTCAGAGACAGCTGCCCCGAGCTGTCTGTGCAGGCAGGGTGCGGTCAGGGTTGGGCCAGAATCCTGTGCACCGCTGCCCCACCCACGCCCAGCCTAGTCTGGGAGACAAGGGGCTGCGCCAAAAGGGGGGCCTGAGTACAGAGGTCCAGAGTCAGGCGGCCTGGGTTCAAATCTTGACTCTCAGCCACCTGGCCTTGGGTAAGTCACCCCAGTATTCAGAGCCTCTATTCCCCCTCCTGGGGACTCACACGGAACCCTGCAGGGCCGTGGGGGGACTGACTGCATTACTTGAATTAGCACCTGAGGAGAGCCAGTGCGCTGGGCAGATGGGCCCTCCCTCTCCCTTGCCCCTGGGCGGGAGTCAGGGGCCAAGGTGCTGCAGAGGGCCCGGCAGGCCAGAGCGCAGGTCTGGAGGGCGCCCTCCTGCGCTGGGCCCTTCCCAGTTCCCCGCCCGGGCAGCGTGCACAGCAGCCAGGGCTGCCCGGCCTCCAGCCTGAGGACGCTGGGCACTCACTGTCCGCCAAGCCTGTTGGCGTAACGGGGCCTACGGGAGAGGCTTTCCCCAGGAGGAGTCCCTGCCCACCAGGGCCTTGTGGGGGCCTGGGCTGCTCCTTGGGAGCAGACACACATCTGCCCAGCCCTGTGCCAAGACAAGAATGCGGTGCCTGAGGACAGGAATGGGAGCCAAGGAGCACAGCCCTGAACTCTTACTTCCGGCCTCAAAACCCAGCTGTGGCTTTCAGCCTCCTGAGCCTCAGTTTCTCCTTCTGTCTGATGGGGTGATGTGCCTACTTCTCAGTGTCGGGAGATTCCAGCGTCTGGCACCAGGCGTGGCACAGAGGAAAAGCCAATATCCGCCATAAGTGAATTGGGGACATTTACAAAATTAGAAAAAAGGGACTGGTAGGCGATCTTCTGCACATGCGTCTCCTCCTCACTGGGCTGGAAGCCCCTGGGTCCAGACGAGGCCTAGCTGTGCCCTGCAACACCGGAGAGTCACCGCAGGGATTGCATTCTGGTTTACACGGTGTGACTCAGATGCAGTCTCCGTGGGCACTGCCAAATCCGTCCTCAAGAGGGTCAAAATCTAGGAGAGGAGAGAAGGTGCGCAGTCACCCTGAATGCGGTCGCTCCTGAGAGGGTACACTCACTGACCCCAGGTTTCACCACAACCCGGAAACTCAGCCTCATCGCCCCCATTTTACCAACAGCAAAGCCAAAGCCCCGTGGGCCAGTGTATCACCTCTCAGTTGCTATGAAACCAACCATTCCACAACTTAGTGGCTTAAAACTGCAGCCAGGGGCTGGCCCGGTGGTGCAGCGGTTAAGTGCACACGTTTCGCTTTGGCGGCCCGGGGTTCGCCGGTTCGGATCCTGGGTGTGGACATGGCACTGCTTGGCGAGCCATGCTGTGGTAGGCATCCCACATATAAAGTAGAGGAAGATGGGCACAGATGTTAGCTCAGGGCCAGTCTTCCTCAGCAAAAAGAGGAGGATTGGCAGTAGTTAGCTCAGGGCTAATCTTCCTCCAAAAAAAAAAAAAAAAAAACTAAAAAACCAAATCTGCAGCCATTTCCTTGTTCCCAAGTCTGCATTTTGGGCAGGGCTCAGTGGATGGCTCATTTCTGTCCCATGTGGTCTGTTAAAGCAGATCCATTGGCACATCCAAGATGGCCTCTGCCAATGGCCAGAATGGCTGGGGGCTGCCACTGCTCTCCAATGGGCAGTTAGACTCTCCCTGCGGTGGAGGCAGAAGCTGCCTGGCCTCCTAGGACCAGCCTGGAACCGGGACAGCATCATTTCCACTGCATTCTATGGTCCGCCTTAGTGGGAGAAGCAGCGTGCGGTCAATTCACCCCAGCCAGGTCACGCACCCTGACAGAGCCCCGTGGTAAACCCAGGTCTGACCCACTGTAATCCCTGTCCCACATTTGGTGCCCTTCCTCCAGGCTTTTACACATGCCGTGAGCTCAGCTGGAGACCCTCCTCCGTCCCCCACTCCACAGATTGGCTAATGTCCGCCCACCCAACCGCTGGGGACATCACCTTCCCCGGAGACTTTCCAGAGCTCCAGTCCTCCCTTGTCTTGCAGAGCAGCCTCCACTTCCTTGATCACGCTGTTCTGTACTTGCTGCCCACGCTTCGGCCTCTCCAGTTAGAACGCAAGCTCGCAGCCCAGCACCCAGTGCCACGCCTGGCACGTGGCAGGTGCTCTCGGAAAGAATCCAGGAAAGGACATGCTCTGTCCACACCACCCCAGAGTGCCTCCTACTTAAAGGCTGTGCTTGTCATGGACCCTCAGACGGAGCTCAGTGTTCAGTATATTTATTAGGAAGTTCCCGGGAGATTAACACCTGTGAAGGGGTGGGAAGGAAGCAGGAGTGGACTGGGGGAACTCCCGTGACAGCTTCAGCTTCGACTGGCCCCATGGGGAGGCCTGGGGCTAGAACAGCCATCAGTGGAGATGGCCAGACTTTTATACCCCCAGCTTGACAGGCACCAGGACTGCCCGCACTGGGGTGCGACCCTGGGCGAAGGGCTCTGCAGCAGAGGCGTCCCCGGGGGCTGGGGGCTGTCACCTCGCTGGGCTCACAGCACACCCTGTGGCTGGTGCAGGAGTCCTTCCTTGAAGGGGGACGCAGCGCAAGAGCAGAGGGAGGTGAGGGGGAGTTTATCTACCTCCCTCCTCGGGGAGCAGGGAGTTCTGGGCCCAGGTGTTTGTGGGGCTTCCTTCCATTAGATGAAGACTAAGGGACAGCTCTTCTGAGCCAGGCGCTGTGCCATGTAGTGTGGGTCTGGATATCACCTGGGGTGGCTCACAGCTCCTTGACCTCCACTCCCTCCTCACTGCCCTGACCCCACGACCCCCTGTCGACACTCTATCCAGATTGATCTTTCCAAAAGGCAAATCAGATATGCAAGTCCTCTGCTTGAAACACACAGGATAAAATCTCAGCTCCCTGCTAGGGCCTGCCAGGCCCTCCATGATCTGCCCCACTCACCACTCCCATCTCATCTCCTCTGCTGCCCCCTTGGGACCCAGTCCCAGCCATATCAAAGAAGGGCAGTCTCAGGGCCTCGGCAATTACCCTTGCCCCTGCCTGGAACCATCTTCTCTCCAGATGTCCAGAGATACTTCCTCTGCATGCATAAGGCCTCAGCTCAATGTCACCTCCTCCAGGAAGCCTTCTCTGATTATTCACTTGATGCATTCCTTTCTTTCATACTTATTCAACAAATATTTATCGAGCACTTACTATGTCCCAAGCGCTTTTCTAGGTAGTGGGGACAACGCGGTGAGTTACAGAGTCCAGGCCTTACCCTCTTGGAGCTTACGTTCTATTGGGAAAGACAATCAATACGAAAGTATAAATTAAAAGAAAAAACACCACGATTTCCGAGAGCGTGAAGTGCTATGAAAAACCACGAGCAAGGCGAGAGGGCACAGAGTGTGGGCCGCGGTCCCCGACGTCCAGCACAGAGCGGTCTCTCCCCCGCGACGGCACCGCTCGCTCGCTCGCTCGGGGACCCGCGCTGAGCACAACGTCGAGAGTGGCGCGCGGAGGAGGCGCACGAGGCCGCCGAGGGTCGCCGCAGACCCACCCTCGGGGGCCGCCCCGCGCCGCGCCACCCGCCTGGCGGCCCGGGAAGGGCGCGCCCGCGGCTCGGCTTGGCCAGGTGCGGGGCCCCGGAGCCGCCTCCCTGCAGCGCGGCCTGGGCGGGTCTGGCGGCGGCCCCGCCCCCGGGCCGTCCATAAAGGCGCGGCGGCGGCGGGCGGCGGCAGCGCTGCCTCCAGGTGCCGGTGCGCCCTCGGCCCGCGGCCCGTTCGCTGCGCGCCCGGCCGCTCGGGGCGGGCTCAGAGCTCCAGCCATGCTGTTCTGGCACACGCAGCCCGAGCACTACAACCAGCACAACGCCGGCAGCTACCTGCGGTAAGGCCCGCGCCGCCCCCGACGGGCGCAGCCCGGGCTCGGCGGGGCGGCGGGCGAGGCGCTGGCGGGCGTCCGAGGACCGGGCGGGGAGCTCCGGGGCCCGGACGCCAGGGCGCCCTCGCTGCGCCCCTGCCTCCCCATCCGCCCTCCGGGCGCTGGGGCCAAGAGCCGCCCGGATCCCGCCTCCCGCCTCGGGACAGACGGACGGACGGACGGACGCGGGCCCCGCGCGCCCCTGTGGCCCCGGCAGCGCCGCCGCCTCCCCGCGTCGCTGCCCGCGCGTCGGAGAAGAGGCAGCTTCCTACCCTCCGTCTGGTGCCTGTCCCGGGAGGTCTGGCTCGCTGCGCGTTGCCCTCGCCGCCCGGGCCCCTCGCCCGGACTCGCGCCCTCTCCAGCGTCCTCGGTCGCACCGAGGGGCCAGCGAGACGGCGGCGGGCGGGGGCTGGGGGACAGGTGCGCTCCCTCCAGGTGGTCGCGCCTCCCTTGGCCGAGGCCCCACGTCTAGTGCCCTAGGCGGGAAACTTTCTTCTGCAGGGACTGGACGAGTGCCCTTCAAAGGGAAAGGTCAGCCCTGCCTGTTCTGCAGAGTTCTCTCCTGTCCCCTTTAGGGAGGAGGACCCCGTGCGCTTCAGTTCCCGGAGGATTGTTTTTCCGTGTTCTGCAGCTGGCAGGGGACTAATGGGCAGTCAGTTCGCTTTCTGAACTCGCCAGAACCAGCTTTAGCCTGTCTTTATTTCCATCCTAGTCACAGTTTATGAAATGTGTCTAATTTAACCCAAAGGGCATTTGGTATGTGCTCGGAGGTGACCTGCAAGGCCGAGGGAGTCGCTGGCATTGGCAGATCCAAAGTGAGAGGCACCCTGCGTGCTTTTTTTGGCCCCAAAGCTGTTCTCCTTCAGATTTAACAGGACGAGCCAGCTGGGAATCCTGGCTTCTGGTCGGTGTCTGTCCAGCAGTCCTCCCCGAAGACATGCCCCTCCAGAAGGCGGAGGAGTGGCTGGGTTGGACCGGCGTGTCCGCTGTTCTTTATTCGCGGGCCAGAGTGGTGGCAGACCGCGTAGTCCGTCGCCGGTCTTCACCGAGGACTGGAGGGCTCGTGCTGGCGCGGTGATGTCAGCAGAGGGGGCTGCGCTGGGGGATGGTGGAAGCCCAGTGGGCAGAGGTTAATTCCCTAGCAGGAGATTGTGTCCATTCCCTTACATGAAATGCTGCTGCGGAATACATTTTTACTTTCTTGCACAAAGAAGTTTTAGTTGTAGTTTTGCCTAAATTTTGCTTTGTGGCCGTTAGGTGTGTTGCCATATTTTAAAAATGAGTGTGAGAGGCTGGCTGGGAGGCATAGTGGTTGAGTTGACCCGCTTCACTTCGGTGGCTCTGGGGGTCACCGGTTTGGATCCCGGGCGTGGACTATGCGCTGCTCGTCAAGCCATGCAGTGACAGACGTCCTACATATAAAATAGAGGAAGATGGGCACGGATGTTAGCTCAGGGCCACTCTTCCTCAGCAAAAAAAGAGGAGGATTGGCAGTGGATGTAAGCTTAGGGCTAATCTTCCTCAAAAAAAAGAAAAAATGATTTTGAAGGTGACCCTGAGTGGAGGGTGAGTGTGTTTAAAACTTCCTGGATACCTAAAATGGCATCCCATGAGGGAGTGATTCTCTTGCATGGGCAGTGCCTCTGGTACTGAGATTGACATTTGTCTGTGGAATATCTCAGACACCTTTTAGGATTTGGGTATGGCTTTAAGAGAGGGGAGGGGAGTGGGGTGGGAGTTGGGGCGAAAGGTGTCATGCAGCCCTCTTGGTTTCTGGGGTCATTTTGGGACCATGGGTAAAGAAGCCGTGGGTCCAGGCTCTTCTTTTATCTCGCTTCTGGAAGATGGGTTTTTTGCCCTTGCAGAGGTTGGCCTCAGGGAAGGCCAAGGTGGGGGTCAGTGAATACACCACTCCTCCCCCCGACTCTAGAGTGAGGGTCTTGTCCTTTTCCTTGGTTCCGTATTTTGGTTTTGGTTGTCTCCTCACCCTGCAGAGCCTCTGCAAACCGTCTGACCTCGCCAGGCAGTGGCCTTTACTCCTTTCTTCCCTCTGTGTTTGATGTTCTCGTGACTTTTATTCCTTGGCAAATAAGGATGCCAGGCTTGAAACAAGTTACTGTTGAGTGATGGTTCTAACCCCCACCTCCCCCCTTATTTAAAGGCAGCAGCCCATGGATTATTAACTTAACGTGGTCTGGGCAAACACGAAGTGATGCAAGCCAGGTGAGCAGGCCTGCCCACTTCTCCTCTGTTCCTCGATAACCCCTTGGGCTGGGCGTGTGCCCGGGCTGCTGAGTGGGAGGCGCAGCGTGGGGGAGCCGAGGCAGCACCGTGTGCTCACCTTTGGGCAGCGGGTGGTGGCAGGTTTTCCAGGTGTGCCCCAAGCCAGACTTTTCCCTCTGAGAACTGGCTAGACGTTGCTGGGATGTGTGCTGGGTTTGTATTTTGGAGACACTTGTTTATTGTGTCCTACGAGGTACAGATTGTCCCAATGACTCTGCTGTTTATCTAGTGAAGAGGGGTCAGCGAATCTGATTCATAGCCGGGACACACGGAAGAAGGGTCTAGATAAGGGCAGGGGCACTTTTTGGGCACCTGTTTCCGTGCTGTTCGTAATCTAGAGGTCCTAAACAAGTCTCTCCTGCTCACAGGTCGCTCGTGTTCTCAAGGATTTCTTTTCGCCTTGCGAGGGTATTTAAAAAATACACCTAGAAACAGGTGCTCCAGTCAGGCTGAGGCGAGGCTGCTGGCTTTGGGTATGGCGGGGGATTTTGTTTAGAGGTAGAGGAAAAGAATCTTGACCATCTCAATATTTTCCATTTGGATAAGAAGACTGAATTGAGACCAAGGTCCGTCCTTCTTGTTTTGCATTTAGGAGACATTAGTATGACCCTTAAAATCAGGGTTGTGGGCCAGCTGTCCTTTTTTTAGAAGGGTGGGGCAATGTCTCAACTTGGGTGAGTACGGCAAACTGTTTGTGTATTTGCAGAGTGGATGGAGCCCTGAGGAGAGGGTTGTATTGGTCTGAAAAGTAGCCAATAAATAGAATAGTTTATTTAAAAGATTAAAATTTTGTTCAGATTCTTATTCTAAAAGCAAGACTTTATAACGAGCAGTCTCTCGTGGATGGAAATCCTATGGCATCTGAAGTTCTCTCCGTGGCGGCTAGTTGCTTTGTCACAGAGCTTTCTGTAATTTGTAGATAGTAGGTAACTTTGTATTTTTACTTCCTTGATGATTGGACTGAATAAATCTGAGAGTTGTTGAGTGAAGATAGAATCATCAAGGAATGGTTCATTGTTTGAAAGCATCTTGGAGTGACGGCGGGATCGGGAGCCGAACCTGCGGCTGTAACGTGCGTGGCTGCACTGCCCTGGAAGCCCGAGGTCTGCCTCTGCCTCGCTGCCTTGGCTCTGTCTTTGCAAACGGGCTCCTTGGGCTCAGTTCCTGACGGCTCCCTCCTGTGTGTTGCAGCGATGTGCTCGCCCTGCCCATCTTCAAGCAGGAGGAGCCACAGCTGTCCCCCCAGAACGAGGCCCGCCTGCCGCCCCTGCAGTACGTGCTGTGTGCCGCCACGTCCCCCGCTGTGAAGCTGCACGAAGAGACGCTGACCTACCTCAACCAAGGTAGTGGCTGGAGCCCTGGGCTGGGGCTGGGGGAACTGCCCAGAAGGAATTCGGAGTTGACCTGAGCAACTCACTTGGGCCTCATGACCTGCCACAGTGGGAGAGGTTGGGTTCCGGAAGGAGGCTGTGGTGTCAGATAGAGTCCATTTCCTAGCTCTGAGACCTCCCTGAGCCTCAGCGTCTTCATCTGAAAAGTGGACACATCCACTGTGTTGTTACTTGGGTCAAACGTGGGTAATATATGTCACGATCCTCCTACAGGCATTTCACAGAGCAGATGGTCAGTGATTGGCAGCCATTGTTATAATTACTATTTACTGTACCAGGACTGATGTCCTTTTCTGGGTATAGATTGAGCACCTTTGGTATATTAGGTATACTGCTCTCGTTTCTGGAGCTGCACCTGGCAGTTGTGGGAAGACAGGCCCTGCCTAGCGCAGCGCGGGGCCTGGATTCCACACGGCCGGGCAGAGGCCCTTTGTGACCACGGGGACGAGATTGCCGACCGCATGCTGAGAGAAGTGGCACGGGCTTTGAAGGTGGAATTCCAACTCCGGCACTTCCCAGCTCTGGGACTTTGAGCTGCCTTTTCTATTTCTCTGAGCTTCAGAATTTTCGTGTGTAAAATGAGGAGTGTAATTTTTGTTTCAAAGAGTGAAGGTGTGTGAATTGCCTGGTATGACAGTGGCTGTTCGTTTGCCGATTCCCTTTATCTGGACACGTAGATCAGTGTCCTGACGGATGGCGTTTTTGTGGTTTCTGTGTGATTATATGTATGTGTTTATTGCACTTCCCTCCTGGGTCACGTTGTAGGCTCTGCGGCGTCCAGTGGATTAATTGCCCCTCGATTTTCATGGGGAGAGCAGAGGGCCGGGGCACACAGCGCTTTCTGGAGGGTTCACCGAATTGCGGGGGGCAGCTGCAGTGTGCTCTCGGTGTGTCTACACGGGCTGCCTCCTTTCTGTGGAACTTTGACTCCTCAGTTTGGAGCCAGCTGGGGAGGAAATCCAACCTGATCATCAGGCTGTCCTCTGACTGTGAACTTGCAGGCTTCTAGGCCAGGGAACCAGCTCAGAATGGTTCTCAGGCGGCTCTGCGTCTGCTGCCAGGTGGAAACGACCCCTCCCGTTGTTGACGTGGCCCATTGGAAGGGCCTGCTTATCCCTGTGGGTAGCGCTGTGGCCTCCGTTGGTCGCCAAGCCAAACCCAGTCAGCAGGAGTGCACTGGCTCAGGCCCTGAGATCTGTGCTCCCTTAGTGGAGGCCGGTGGCCGTTGGTGACAGTGCTGTGGCCATGTGGAGGAATACCTCTGTGCTTGTTTGTGGAATGGCCTCGGCCGTTTTCCTTTCTCTTTCATGGAAGGTCAAATGCCACCCACTTGTGGTGTACCTTTGAGCAGTCTCGATTTCCTCTCTGGGCTTCTGCTTTCTTGCCTAAATGTGGCATGGAGAAATGGGGTGATGTTTACTGAGCGTTTAGCTCCAAGGTAGTTCTTGTTTCTGGCCCTCCTGCAGTGCTGAGCACCGAGTGGTCTGAGGCCCTGGACCCTGTGTGCCGCCTCTTCCCCACCCTGTGAGGCCTCTGCCTGCCTTCCCCGCCCCCACCCCCTCCCCCACCCCCTCCCCCTCTAATCGGTCCCCTTTGGACAATGTTTGGCAGTCAACATACTAGATCTTTTAAAAAGTTATCTTTTGCTTAATGTAGGTAAGTTAAAAGAGGGAAAAGCAGTTGCCGCATGGTCTTACCAGCCTGTGTTAATTTGGTATATTTACTGTAGATATTTTTTAAGTTACATTTTCCTGATTATTAAACAATACATGTTCATTATGGAAAATTTGAAAGATTTATAAAAGTATAAGGAAGAGAATTAAAAGAAAAATAAAATTGAAGTCTCCTCTAATTTCACCTGAGAACCACTGCCAACTTGATTTCTACGTATTTGTGTATACATCTTTTAAAATTATGATCAGGCTACCGAGATAGATCCTGTTTTCTTCATTTACTGTGTTTGTGAACTTTTCATCTGTCGTTAAAAATGCTTTGAGAACTTAAATTTTTGTAATGGTTGCATACGATTACATTTCGTAGTTCTGTTACTTTGATGAGTTTCATAGTAGGGACACTTAGTATTCAGTTGTTGTCTTTGTGTGAAATGTTGATTATTTATTTTTTTTTTTAGATAAATACCTTAGAAGTAGAATTACTGGATTAAAAGGTTTGAATAAGGCTTTTGATACATTTTCCCAAATTGCCTTCTCAGCAGAATGTACTAATTTACACGCTAGCTAGCAGGGTACATTTTACTGTCTTTTTCCCAATATTGGATGTTATTGTTTTCATCTGATTAGTGAAACAGAATTTAATCTTAAACTGGCATTTCTATCATTGCTAAGGTGGTTGAATATTTTAAAATATATTTATCAATCTTTTTTATTTCTCCATCAATTATGTTCATGTCCTTTGCACATTTTTCTACTGGAATGTGTATATCTTGTTGGTCGTAAGAGCATACCGTCTATGAAAAACATCAACCTTTTAGCTGCCGTATGTTGCAAACATTTTTCCTGTCAGTTGCTGGCCATTTAACTTTATTTATTTTGTGATAACTATATTTATAGTGTGGGATATATGTCATGATTTTTTTTCTGTGTAGAAATTTATTTTAAATGTCTATGGTCAGATCTTCAATCTTTTAAAATGATTATTTTATGCTTAGAATACCTGCCCACCCCAAAATCAGCTTAGTAGTTTCCTACATTTCATTGAACGTTTTCTAAATTTTAACATTGAAATGCACTTGGAATTTTTGTTGGAAACTTAACAGTTAGTCATTTACTGATGTTTTAGATTATTACTACATAAATTATATTTTTTCAGCTTTACCAGTGAGATTTATACTATCATATGTTGCACTGGAATTTATGATGTGCTGTAAAGGTCTAAGTTGGTTTATTTTTTGAAATAGTTAACCTACTAGTTATTCCCTAGTTTATCCTTTTCTCACTGGCTTGAAAATGCCACTTTTTAAACATTTACAAAACCGTATTCTAAAGTATTAGTCCAGGAACAGACCCTTATAGAGATGTTTGTCCTGAAGCCCTGACGTTTGTTGATTCTTGCTCCTTGCTCATTGAACTAATTATATATATATTTTATATATATAATATATATTTCCCTGTTTAGGTGCAGAAGTTTCTTTCGTCATTTTTCTTAGCCATTCGGGATAATTTATTCTCAAAGATGAATTTTACGGCCATTGAATCTTTCTTTTGTCTTTTTGTAAACATTGATGAGATCATGTGCTTTATAAAATTGTTTCTCTTATTAAACACCATTCTTGTAATAGCGTTTTCTACTGTTATTAAAGCCTCTTAAACATCATTTAAAATGTCTGCATATTATTTCACTATTTCCTCTTGTTAATTAGGGCAGAGTATTGTCATAACTGCTGGAAGAAAATATACAGTGTAATTATTTTAGTTTCTGTCCCCCACAAAGAATGGAAGCCCTGTGAGGGCAGAGCCCTGTCTTTTTAACGTTGTGTCCCCAGCGTTAAGCCTGGTGCCTTGATGGTAGGTGCTCTATGAATATTCAAAAAATTAAAAAATAGGCGTGATTTAGTTTATTTCCATTTTATTTTTCTGTCTTCTCTCTCTGTTGCTATTATCAGTATTGCTGTACTGGCTATCTTTTTTGGTATGCCTTAATTAAAGTAGCCTTTAAATCCTTCTACATCGTATGACAATTAGGCATCGATTCAGTTTAAGAAAAAAGTAGTTTTGACACATCAGTCAAAACCTTTTTGATTAATCGAAAGGTTTGCTGTTAAATATTTAACGTTTTTGCATTGGCCTTATGATGTTTATTGCATTATTTCTGTGGGGCCGTCCCCATAGAAGTATGTGATGTGTTTGTGATGATGTGTTTAAAGTTCTCTGAAAACATGGAAAGGATGCTGTATCTATAAATCAAAAAGTCGTTTAAACCATTGGATGCTCATTTCTCAGTGCAGTGTCAGACCGATGCCTTGACATCATGTCGCTTGGGCAAGGTGTGTTACGTGTGCGTGTCCTGTCACCAAGCCCAATGGCTAATTTTGGATGTGGTCAAAATTGAAAATGGTTTGAAAAACAAAGTATGTCCTTTTCCTCTGAAATGGAGTCCCAAGGAGAAGTGGTAGACAGCTATTAAATGGAAGGCTGCAAATTTCCAGATCAACCTCTTTGGCAGTGGCCAAAGGTCACTGTGGATCTTTCCTGAAGGCTGGAGCCAGAGGGCAGGGATGAGGTGGGTGGCGGGGGAGGAGAACAGAGGAAAGTCAACCTTAGGCAATCTGTGTAGGGAATTCTGGCTTTGAGATAAGAAACAACTTTGCAAGAATTGTTTGTTACGGAGAAAGCTTTGGTATTTCCTACCAGAGCAACTCTTGCATCTTAAATATAGCAATGAATTTTTACAGGAGTCTTACTTTCATTCACGCATGGAATAAAACTTCCTGTCCATTGGAAGGAGAGCGTGGTTCGGTGAGAAGAGAGAAAAGCCATGTGCAAAGGCAAGAATGGGGTGGGGGTAGGGTGGAGTTAAGCACACGGTCATTCCAAAGACTCCTAAATGGTTTAGGATGACTAGGGTTTAGAACGTTAGGAGTGTGACTGATATGGCTGGATAGGTAGACCAGGTGGCTGAAATCTCCGGCTGCCTTGCTGAGGCTGAGCCGCTGGGCAGCGACCAGGCAAGTCGACATCTCAGGACCTGCAATTTGTTTATCTGTAGATGGGGGAAATAAAACCCCTACAAAGTAGGTGCCACTGTATGGGTCAGATGCGTTAGTGCGTGTAGAGCCCTGAACACGGTGTCTGGCACGTGGTGAGCACTCACACGTTAGCTATTATTAGTAATAAAGTGGACACGTGTTGCCCCTACTCCTATTCTGGAAGTTAACAAGGTCATCAAGTTGAAATTTTGAAAATTTTTACTATTTTTTTTGTTTGTTTGTGTTT